TGGTTAGCGGCTTTAGGGTTTCCAAAGGGATCTATCAGGGTTCCTCGGTTTAGGGGTTTAGGGTTTAGGGTTTAGGGTTTAGGGTTTAGGGTCTAGGGTTTAGGGTTTAGGGTTTAGGGTTTATGGGATCTTCAAGGGTTCCTTCAAGGGATCTAGAAAAGGGTAGCATAAGGGCTAGGGCTCTAGGGTTTGGGCTTTAGGGCTTTAAGCTTTAGGGTTGAGTGTCAGAGACCAAACCAAGCTTTAACACATAGGTATAGCCGTACTTCCATTATGACTGGAAATCGTACCTGCTACGACCCAGGACCCTTTACGTAAAGACCTGAGTTCTTAACGAGAAGTGGAGCTCATGGGCCATTTAGGCACGGTGGTGGATCATAACCCTAAACCCCTGAACCTTAAACCCCCAAACCCTAAACCCTAAACCCCTAAACCCGTAAACCCCGAAGCCCGAAGCCCGAAACCCCAAAGCCCTAAACCCCAAAGACCCTAAACCCCTAAACCCCGCAGCCCGAAGCCCCAAAATGTGTCCCCCATCTTGAGCCTTCATGGTTCAAGGTTCCCTAAACCCTAAACCCTAAACCCTAAACCCTAAACCCTAAACCCCTAAACCCTAAACCCTAAACCCTTGGTCTTCAGCAGCTTCGAGGCCCAAAGGATCCCTGAATCCGAAACCTTGAGAAACCCGAACCCCAAATGCTAGATTTAGAGTTTTAGGGTTTAGGGTTTAGGGATGTTTAGGGTTTAGGGTTTAGGGTTTAGGGTTTAGGGTTTAAGATAGGAGCCTCAATAATTAGAATAGGGTTTGGGGTATGTTATGCTAGAAGTATAATAGGGAGCCCCCAAAACCCTATTCTAAGTATGAAGGCCCCTACATTAGGCTTTCCCCCACATCCACAACCCTCAACCCTTAACCTTGGTTTAGGGGCGAAGATCTGCGGATTCTCTGCCTGAAGGCCCCTACCTATAGTCTGCGTTGTAGTTCCCTATTTTGGTTAAGCCAATGTAGGGTTTAGGGTTTAGGGTTTAGGGTTTAAGGTTTAATGGTACATATTCAGGATCCTATAAGGTAAGCACAAAAGGGATCCATAATGTAAGCTGTAGCTAGACCCTGCAGCCTAAACGCCACACCCTAAGCCCTAAGCCCTAAACCCTAAACCCTAAACCCTAAACCCTAAACCCTAAACCCTAAACCCCAACTCCCTGGTAAAGGCACAGTCCCCTGGACCCCTGTGGCCCTTCCGTCTAACGACTTGTCTGCAGTCGGAAAAAGGGGTTCGAAAAAAAACAACTCCTCCCTAAACCCTAAACCCTAAACACCCTAAACCCTAAACACCCTAAGCCCCTAAGCCCCTAAACCCTAAACACCCTAAACCCTGAACACCCTATGCCTTAAACACCCTAAACCCTAAACCCCCTAAACCCTAAACCCTACACCCTACAAGCCCAAAACCCCCCAAAGCCCTAAACCCTAAACCCTATAAGCCCTAATCCCTAAACCCTAAAAGCCCTACACCCCTAAACCCCGTAAGCCCTAAACCCTTGAAGCCGGGCCTTGCTTTTAGGCGACCCCTGCTTTGCGCCACCTCCTCTTTCGGCGCAGCAGCCCGGCGAGCCCTTACCGGTTTAGGGTGTTTATGGTGTTTAGGGTGTTTAGGGCGATGTTTAGGGTGTTTAGGGTGATGTTTAGGGTGTTTAGGGTTTAGGGTTTAGGGCTTAAGGGGTTTAGGGTTTATGGCTTAGGGTGTTTAGGGTTTAGGGAGGAGGGCTTGGGGCGCAGAGCGTCGCAGTTCTGCTTTAGGGCTTAGGGTTGCAATCTAAAGTCTCAGGGTTTAGGCTTGAGGGCGCTCTATTTTGCCAATATCTAGACCCATGAACACTACGCAGGTCCTTGGACCCTTGAAAGGAATTCTTATCCCTGAGTCGTGAAGCCAAAACCCTCTGCTCTTATCCCTTAACCTGAAACCTTAAACCCTAAACCCTCAACCCTAAACCCTAACCTTAAAACCCTCAACCCTAAACCCTAAATCCTTAACCCTAAACCCTAAACCCTAAACCCTACACCCTCAACCCTAAACCCTAAACCCCGTCCAGCCGCGCAGCTGGAGCCTCACACCGCATGGAGCCCTGGAGCCCTTTCAGCCTAGGGGTTTCAGGGTTAGCAATTTACCCCCTAGGCCCTAAACCCCAAACCCTAAACCTTATAAGCCCTAAGCCCCAAACCCTATAAGCCCTAAGCGCTAAACCTTTTTTGCCCTAAACCCTAAACCCTATAAGCCCCAAACCCTAAACCCTACAAGCCCTAAGCCCTAAGCCGTATTAGCCCTAAACCCTAAACCCTATAAGCCCTAAACCCGAAACCCTATAAACCCTATAAGCCCAAAGCCCTAAACCTTTAAAAAGGGTTTAGGGCCGGAATTTTTGCAGAACAGATAGCAAACCCTAAGCCCCTAGGCCTGGGTTTAGGGTTTGGGATTTAGGGTTTAGGATTTGGGATTTGGGGTTTAGGGTTTAGGGTTTGGGGTTGCTGGGGTTTTAGGGTTTGGGATTTGCAGGGGTTTTGGCTTTAGGATAGCAGATACATAGCAAGCTCTAAACTAGCCTGAAACAGAGCCCTAAACCTTAGTGGGCGATCTCTTTGCCCAGGTGGTGCCCCTCTTCACGCCGGCTTATGGCGCAGGAAAGGAGGCAAGCGACAGGCCATGAGGGCGAAGGTAAGCCTTTAAGGCAAAAGGTAGTGGTTTAGGGGTTTAGGATTGAGATGCTTCTATATATGGCGAAGGTAAACCTTTAAGGCAGAAGGTAGTGGTTCAGGGGTTTAGGATTGAGATGCTTCTAAAAAAGGCGCAGGTAAACCTTTAAGGCAGAAGGTAGCGGTTTAGGGGTTTAGGTCTATAGGAATCTCTATACATGTACTTGTGGGGTGGGATGCCGTCAGGCCAAGGCTGTTGTAGCATCACCGTGCCCGCATCATCCCTCCAAGCCTCCCAGGTATTCCACCGTCACTAGGTAACATCGTTACCCATTGGCCCCATAGTAGTTCCTTTTTGGGATTACCGAATAGGATCCCAAATATAAACCACCCAAAAGGAACTACTATGGAGCCTATGGGTAACTTGTACTGAGCCAGAATGTTGCTCCAGACCCTGCCGATGCACACAAAAAAGCACTGAGTCAACCCCTCCTAAGCCCTGAATGCCAATCCCCCAACTATAAACCACCAAAAGGAACTACTAAAGCCACTCAGTCAACCCTAAGCCCTGAACGCCAATCTTCCCAAAGAAGCGTTGAAGACCTGCAATGTATGGGGAGGGCCTTGCTTGGCCTGGAGGGACGGTCATGCGAGGCAGGCTAAGGACTGCAGTGTTTAGGATTTAGGGGCCTGAAGAATATTTCTCAATAGTCCTCTCAATGCCCCAGAACCCTGTGCTCATTACTACAAGCGCTCCTATATTATGCTCTGCGGAGACTTCTCGCGTTTGTTTAACTTTGTTGGGGGGTATTATCTATAACTATAGTCACGATAGTCCTTATAATGCACCCAAAGGTCAACCTGTAGTTCCACCAGGAAGCTGGACAAGCAAGGGTCTTGGGTTTGGGGTTTAGGGTTTAGCATGGCTTGGTGTTTAGGCGGTTCTAGGGTTTTAGGGGTTTAGGGTTTAGGATGGTTTAGGGTTAGGAGTTAGGGCTCCGAGGTATGGGGCTTTAGGGCTTAAGACCCTAAACCCTAAACCCTAAACCCTAAACCCTAAACCCTAAACCCTAAACCCTAAACCCTAAACCCTAAACCCTATTTGCGACCCAGAACACCCGGAGGCTCATCCGCGAGCTCCAAGTAGAGCTGGGCCCTCTCGGCATCGATTGCGTGCCACATGTCTCAGACTGTGAGAGAGCACCATAACACAATGCGTATAGGTATGTATGTATGTAGGTAGGTAGGTAGGTAGGTAGGTAGGTAGGTAGGTAGGTATGTATGTGTGTATGTATATATGTATATGTCTGTGTGTAGATGAGTATAGCTCGCGATAATCTAAAATCCAGCTTTATCGCTATATGTTTCATGTTTTGTATATGTAAAACACATTCCATTGAATAGATAAATAATAAATAGATATAGAGTACCTGTACATATATATATATATGTATAAGTATATATACGTATATGTGTATATATATATATATATGTGTACATACATACATATAAACAAGCCTAAACAACACATACCTACTTTCCTACCTACCTAACTACCTACCTGCCTGCCTGCCTACCTACCTATGTACGTACGTACCTACGTACGCACGTGCATGCATACATACATGCGTCCATCCATCCATCCATCCATCCATCCATCCATACATACATACATACATACAGACAGAAATACACGAACAAATAAATGAATAAGCATATCTATATATAGACATAATGATTGGATCATTTCTTTACGTATTTATTCGAACAATGAGGTTTTGTCAGGCCTTGGTAGTTGCTGATACCCTTTGTGTTCAAAGTTTCTGGTGGGTTTCTTGAGTTTGCAAAGTTGCGATGGGAGTTATGGTCTATCAAAGCCGGTTGCCATAAGGGCTGCATAATTACTACGCGCCTTTGTCGGACATGGGATGGGTTCGAAGGAGTTTATTGTCACCAGAGGTTGTTCCGGTGTTGTTGTCGTGGTCGTCGTCGTCGTCGGCCTGATCGTTGTGTTTTCAGTGGGCTTGTAGTTTAAAGCCCCAATTACCGGCAAACCCCGCAGAACTCGGAGCTTTTGGAAGCGTTTTCGTTGGAGGGTTTAGGCTTTTCGGCTCAGAGTTCAGGGTTCCGGATGTTTCCGGTGGATTTGGGTTTCGCTTTGAGGGTTTCGGGAGTTACATCCAGGGCTTAGGACGGCTTAGGAGTTGAAACACCAAACCCTAAAGCCCGTGGAAAGTTCTAGCGCCGAAAGGACTTAAGCCCCATTCCGCGGACTGACTTGCAGCTTCGTTACAGCTCCTGTGCCCCGCAGCTGAACTTCAAACCCATAAACCTCCGTGGAGGAACCTACTTCGGAACCTCGGAGTTTAGGGTTTAGGGTTTCAGGGTCTCTTCCAATCCAAACACAGGTCGTTTTGGCCCGGTATCGTGCTGACAGAGAAAGTGCCATGGTGCAGATCTGCTTGTGGCCACTTCGGGGCTTTGAGATGCAGGCTTATAATGAGGCGGTCTGAATAACTCGTGCACAGTTCTTGCATGAGGAGAAAATACCAACCCCAGTCCAATAATTACGGCCTACATACTAGCAACTACCAGGCATGGTGTTCGGCATGTAGTCTGCGCCATGCTCTTTGTGGCATCAGTTGGCTGAATCCAATGCGAAGAAAACCGTCAGCAACAGTCGTAAACCTGCTACCTCTCGCATACTCGCAGTACGCGTGGTAGTTAGGACTTTTGTTCAGACACTTCCTCACTATCACAAGGCATGACCACTTATAGTAGTACCCATAATATAGGCCAAAGTGATGTAGCTCCGTCCGAAATCTTAAGCTTCACTTTCACCACTACTGCACAAGACTAAGGGGTGTGGGTTGATCGGGGCTTCTTGACCGCAAGCCCCTGCACCCTGGACCCGAACCCTTATGCCCCAAACCCTAAACCCTCAACCCGAAGCCCTTTTAGGCCCTAAACCCTAAGTCCTAAATCTAAACCCTAAATGTAGTTGCGACGCAGTGTGAGCCCCATCTGAAGCCGTCTGGCTTAGCGGTTTAAATTCCCGGCAAAATGGTGGCGGGTTTTGGGTTTGAGGGTTCAGGGCTTAGGGTTCAGATAGCAGGGTTTGGGGGCCAGGGAGAAACTACAAAGCATGTACATTCATGGTATGGCACCTCCGTTTCCTTTGGAACTCGTCAGACAAAGTGCTCCTGAAGTGTATGCTTTGGTTTTCTTAGGCCACAATCAATCCTAAATCACGAATCTTGCAGATACCTTAACCTACCAAACCCTCATTGTTTTTGCAGGTTCTTATTCTCAACCCTAATCTGGAGTTTATAGGGGCCCCACAAAAAAAGTAGGTTTTAGGTAGGTTAAGGTAGCGTTCAGGGTTTCGCTTTGGCCCCTTTTAGGCTCCCCTGCACGAACGCCCCAAGCTCTTGTTTGCCATGCTGTCGCTGGCTCCCACAAGCGGCTTTCGGGGCGAACGCTTCGCAAGCGGAGGAAGCCGGAGGAGAGCAAGTTGCGCGGTTTAGGGTTTCGTGTGCTTAGGGTTTATGCAAAGCATGAACTTGTTTTGGGACCGTCTCGTTTTTGACCCCCCTGCCTCGGGCCAGCCACCAGCCCGCAAGGTGCGAATCAGCTGCTTTTCACACGGTCCATCAGTTGCGCATGCAAGATCTCAGGAAACGACAAGTGGACGAGCATGACATGCAGCGTCTTTGCTGCAACGCGAAGTACTGGTTTTGACGGCAGGCCAGCGGAAAACGCTCGTGAGCGGTTTCCTAGCGACGTTCATGGCATGCCGCCACGTGCATTGCACAAATCCGCTGCTCGCGGGCTCGCGTGGGCTGTGTAGCATTTGAGGTCGTGGTGATCCCGAACTGACTGGGCGGAGTCAACCGAAGCTTTCTCGTGTGACTGTTTCGTGCACGCCGAGCGGGGTGGAGTCACTTCAGGCTTAACGGGCGGGGCGTCCGTGTTCAGGTCACCGTGGCAGGAACGCGACTCGAAAGAGTGCCGGGGGTCACGAGGGATGGGCGAGAACGCCCACGGATTCCGCTTAACGGCTGCATTGGCGGAGTGACACTCACACAAACAACACGTTGGCTTTGTGTGGTGTTTGAGGTGGCAGTGGGGTGAGGAGGAATGGAAGGAGTCGTTTCTCGGCGAGACGCTGTGAATGCTTGTGAGGCTATCGTGAGAAAAGAACACCCACAAGGGAGTAGCCTCTGATACCGCGAAGACAAAGCATCATCTAAATCTAGGTTCAAACGGGCACGCCTCATGTCACGGTGCTCTGTTTTCGCAAGCCATTAAGTGGCCGGGCCCCCAATTTTGAGCAATTTCTAGAAAGTTAAATACGAAGCAACATACAGTAACTCAAGGTTGAACAGGCGTTCTAATGTGTTGTCCTAAATCATGAACTATGCACGCCTTGCATTTCCTCAATTTTTTTGGCGTTTTTTTGTGGGCTTGATTCAAGATGCCTGAGAGAGGCAGGTGTAGGCCCTTGCAGACCACAGTTACTAATGCTCGTTCGCTCCATGTTCTGGTAAGCCCTCACCTATGCAACTTGACACTTTGTGCAATAAAGTAGAATAAGTACCTTAACCTACCCAAACCCACCTTTTTTTGTAGGTTCTTCTTATCATAAACACTACTATCTTTTTTGTAGGTTATTCTTATCATAAACCCTAATATGGGATTTGTAGGGACCCTACAATGCAGTAGAAGACCTAATTGGGAGTTTCAGAAAATTAGGGTACCTTATTTTGGGGTCCTGACAATAGGGATCCTATTATTTAGGGTACTATATTAGGGTCCCCTATTTTCGGCAACCCCCAATTAGACGTAGGCCCAGAAGCTGGAGGCGGCCGTGAGACTGCAACTCCGTCACGAATTTGAAGGCGTAGAGTTTGGGGTTTAGGGGGTTTAGGG